TGTGGGTAGAAATGGCTGATCCTAGTGGCTTTATAAATCACCTGTTTTTTTCTTCTTATGGAATCCACTCCTGAGAGCTTCTTCATCAGCAAGTTCCGGCTTGGAAAATCCTGGTGAACTCTCAATGCTCGACTGTCCTGGCAGCCTCCATTTTCTTGGCTGCAATCCACCTCAATTCAGCAGTTTTGTTGTACACCCTATTTTGTACATTCCCTGCCACAGGTATTGATCTTGAAAATTCAGGTGTCGGACTGTTGTCAATCTGTGGAGAATACAAGAGGTAGTATATGTTTAAAGACTCTGAATCATTTGACATTCAATGCTCACACTCTGCATATGTGGTGCTTGAACCCGAGATCTCAAAGAATAACAACAATTCCTTAACCACTGAGATCACTTAATTCATGCCAGTCGTACTTCATATCATGAAACCGACCTATCAACATTGCATTTAATATTAAAAATTCCTTGCACTCAACTATTTTCCTACCTTCAACCAATGGAACTAACTTCAAATTCTCATTGCGTTGAAGAGCATCAAACTCGACAAACGCAACTTCATTGCAAATAGAAATATTGAACGCTTGATAAATTGACTTAGTTTCCCTGTCAGCTTTTGTTATGCTTGAAAAAAAAAATACAAATTGGGTTTGAATATGCCTCTCTTACTATGTGTCATCATTGGGTGTTGTTTAGTGTGAACCACTTTAACATGTTGATCGTGTGACCTATCATCATTACTAAGACAAGGTGATCCGTTGAACCCATCTTTATTCCTGATTTGTAGTAAGGGGTTGTCCTCGTTACTAAGACAGGCTGATGCGGACGGGAGTTTGCAGGGTGTCCGAATTAACCGTTATGCGCCAATGGTGTCGTGCCTTTTTTTCACATATGATTGTTTTATTTTCGGAGAGGCAAAGGTGAGGGTGGCTATACAATTAAAAACTCTGTAGGCGTTTACAATCAGAGTTCGGGACAGGTTATAAATTTCGACAAGTCAATATCTTCTTCAGTTCTAAGGTTAAATTTCGACAAGTTATAAATTTCGACAAGCGATGTTAAATGTATTCTAAATGTCTCCAGTTCCTCCAAACCAGAAAAGTATTTGGGACTTTCGCGATTATTGGAAGAGCCAAGAAGCGGCTTTTTTCCATTTAAAGGACAAATTTCATTCTCAAATACATTATTGGTGCATCCGTACGCTGTCACAGGGAGGTAGGGAGGTGTTCATCAAATTCGTACTTCAGGCTATCTCATTATTTGCCATGAGTTTTTTTTTTTTTTTTTTACTTCCAAAGAGTTTGTGCACTGAATTGAGGGCATTATGGCTCGATTTTGGTGGCAGAAGTCTGAAAAGAAAAGGGGTATTCACTGGTGCACCTAGAAGGCCTTATGTGAGTTGAAAGAATCGGGGGATTGGGATTTCGTGATATGACAAAGTTCAACATCGCCGTTTTGGCAAAACAGAGTTGGAGGCTAATGACAAATCCATCATCTCTTGTGGGTCGTATCCTTCGGGCGAACTACTTTCCAAGTGGGGATTTTCTTGGCTCTAATTTAGGATCGCATCCGTCCTACAAGTGCCAAGGGGTTGTTAGAGTAGGGCTTGTACTGGAAAGTAGGGTCGGGTCGTTCCATTTCTGTATGGAACGATTATTAGCTCCCAAGGTGTCCTACTCGTCGAATCATGCCTCCACGATTGGATTCAATAGTTACAGTTTTGGATTTAATTGACGGGGATGTTGGGTGTTGGAGAGAAGACGTCATTGCTGGAAATTTTTCAGCAGAAGAGGCTGATTTTATACAAGCTATTCCAGTTTCGAAATTTAAGCAAGATGATATTCGGGTCTGGAGTGGGGAACGTTCTGGTGTGTACAGTGTCCGTAGTGGTTACAGGTTACTTGTTAATGGGGAAGTCGATTTCCATCCGCAGAAAGCTCTATTTGACAGGGTCTGGGCTTGCGAGTGTCAACGCAAAATAAAACTGCAGGTGTGGAAATTCTGCCATAATTTTATACCAGTAAACAAAATCTTTTTGTAAAGAGTTTATCAAATGACCCTTTTTGTTTATCCTACGGTATTGTTGTTGAGTCTACAGTTCATGTCATTAGAGATTGTTCATTAGCGAAATTAGTTTGGCAGAGATTAAATATTCACTGGTCGTCCCACCTAAACTCTTGGGATTTTACGTCTTGGTCTGAGTAGCTGTTAGTTCATACCAGAGCAGATATCAATGCAATTATTTTAATGGGAGTGTGGGCTCTGTGGCTTGCCCGGAACAAATTGTTTCATGAGGGTAAATGGATGAAACCAGATGAAATCATTACCTTTGTGCATGCCCAGTTTTTTGACTTTATCACTGCCATCGCGTGCTGGCATCTCCCCCCCCCCCCCCCCCATCTCTCATAGTGCATTGGAAGCCTCCGGTTTCCCCAATAGTCAAGGTAAACTTCGACGCCCGGTTTATGCAATCACAAAGATTGGATTGGTCATGTGTTGTTATTAGAGATTGGGAAGGGAAAATCATGGGGGCTAGTAGGTGGAAGTCGATCAGAGTTACCTTAGCTTTTGAGTCGGAGCGAGAGCGGCGGTGCATGCAGTGGAGTTGGCTTCCGATTTGGGTTTCCGCGACGTGACCATTGAAGGTGATTCCAGAAATATTCTTGGGAAGCTTAAATCAGGGTGATGGTCTGGGAAGCGAAATGCCGTGCGAGATCTGGTAACATGACAGCTCACTGTTTGGCAGCAGATGATAGTCTTGGGGACTCGGACAAATTTTGGATTGAAGAAGGCCCTCGTTGTCTTGAGGTGCAAATGGATGAGGACTCAAGGTGGATGGTTCCCCCTTAGCGTCGTTCACTCGTTTGCTCGTTTTTTTTTCTCTCTACTCAATGCTTGTTTTCTGTCTCCTCGAGCCCTCATAGCTTATGTTTCTTGGTTTTGCAGAGATGAAGAAAGGCCAACCTGTGACCCTTTGTTTTTTTTTTTTTTGAAATGATAACGTGCGGCAATTTTATTATACGAGACATTACAGATTTTGTTATTATTTAAATAATAAAATCAGTAAAAATTATTAAAATCATTATATTTTTATTAATTTTGTTTTTATTGGGCGTTTTATTAGTTTTGTTATTTTTCTATCAGTTTTGTTATTATTAGGTACTTTATCGGAAATGTTGAAAAACATTGATGTTTTAGATAGAAATAATAATGTATTAATTATTTTTTTACCGATTTTATTATTTAAATAATAATAAAATTAATAATATCTTTTTTTAGTTATATATTAAGAATGTCTCACTGTAAAACTTCTTTTATTTTTCACCGTTTATTATTTTATTTCTTTTCACGGTTTTCTAGTTTGTTTAGTTGCTGTTGAGTTGAACACCACTTGTTATTTACAACTATTTTTCTATATAGTAATATATCTACGGACAAAGAGTACTGTAGAAGTTAATGGTCCGTTTGTTTCACTGAAAAAAGTTTCTGAAAATTGAAATTTGGAAAATGAATTATATTTCTGGAAAACGTTTTTTAGAAAACATTTTCCAATGTTTGGATGTTATATTGTAAAATGTTTTATACTGTTTGACTAATTTTTCTAAAACAGTTTTCAGAATCTGTTTTTAATCAAGAAACATACATATTCAATATATTTTTATTCTTTACCTTTTAGTTTTATTAAAAGTTTATTTTACTTTTATATAATTATTTTTTATAAAACTTTGTATTTTTATAAGTTTGTCAAACTAAATTTTTAGATAATATTAATAATTTATGTTGATTGTGTTATAAATAAACTATTTTAAGTTTAAAATCTTCATGATGCTTATTCATTAGTATTTTTAGAAATGAATTTCAATGTATAATTAATATTATGTAGGTTTTTTTGATATAATATTAATAATTTATTAAAAATAATATAAATATTATGTAGGTTTAATTAATAATATACTACATTAAAACAACAATAGTACATAGCATTATAATAAACAATAATAGTGTCAAAATGTATAATTAAAGGGTTTATAACATTAAAACAACAATATTATCAAACCGTAATAATACAAAGTCTAATTCATAGTTAGTGCTACAACATATCAAACCAACAATATTGTTGAAGTCTATAATTAGTACTATAACATGTGCAGAAATAATTCAGGTGCAGTGTAATCCAAAGCTGAAAATGTCAGAAGAACATCCAACTGAAGATGCTTTACTGCGAACCAGTTCAGGTTCAATGTAATCCAATGATGGCTGAAGAGGATGACAGAATCTTCAGTATCATATTCCTGCACATACCATATGAAATCATAATATAATAGTGAAATGCATATCATTACTGCAAAATAGCAAAGCCATCCATCATGACCAATGACTTGATAAATTAACATAGGGAGCATACTAATATTTACAAAGAGAAAGGCTCACATAGCCAACAAGTCAAAATGGAACACATAAGAAAGCAAAGCCTAAAAGGTAGAAAGAAAATTACTTAAAATATAAGCTAATAATGGTGATAAAAAAAAGAGTCAAAATGGCATTCATAAATGAAAAAACAACAATAAATATGATATGTATGATCATATGTAAAATTTATGACATCATATTAAGACATTAAACAGAGGACATTCATATCACAGTGCTAAGGCTAACCTAAGAAAAGAAGTCACAACTATGTTCATGAGTTGAGCATTAGAAGTATAGATGTGCTAGACAAGTAAATTCAAGTTTTTCCTTATATATAAACAACCAAACATCCATGCACACATCTACCGGAAGAGCTAAAGAAAATGGGCTTTTCATTATTCTACCTTGTTTCATATTTTGATTTCAATAGGGTCAAGTACAATGATTTCAAGTTATATGAAAAATGTTCTCATTTTTCTTTTGAGTACAATGAGTAGCTTTTCTTCCAAAACTCCATACCCGCCATTACTACTTGAGCGAAACCCATAAAATATCAAACGTTTTACTTACAACATAATGGAAGGTTGGTACACTCGAGGCATGATCTTTTGAGATAGAAAAACCAAACCCACCAAGCTTCCAAGCTCCATGTGATGTAATCAAGACATTCTGCATAGTGCAAAGTAGTATTTAGACAAACATATACAAAGTGACTTTCCAAACGTGTCTTAAATTGGATCGAGCACAAAATTGATTCTAGAAAACTAAGACCAAAATAACAAGACTTAATCCTAAAGAACTCGGTTTGTTCTTGCACTGTCGATCCCAACCCTAGATAAAATCGGGTTGCAGTAGGCCTGTGACAACCAGTGTAAACCTCATCAGGTCTTTTAATATGGATCAAAATCCTTAGAGAACTATGTTACATAATATAGACATTTACAACATTAAAAAAATAGTACTACACAACTTGGTTCACTTAGTATGATTCAAGATTTGGATGAACCATTTAACATTCAATCATTGATACCAAGTATTAGAGTAATTCAAAATTTTTTAATCTCATTTAGGAGAAAGTAAGTAGAGCAGGTACCATCCCTTTAAGGTCCGTAGGAACCATGGTAGTATTCTCGACATTCCCAAGTGTATTATCCACCGACGCAAAAAAAGGCTCCGTAACAATTGCCATGGCATTCTTATTCTCGTCCAGAGCATGCACCACGTGGACCACACTTGGATGCCTCAGTCTGACCAGTTTCCCTACATCGGCCCGTTTCAGATCCAAGAATGAATCTTCAGCCACCTTGGTGTTGAGATACATAAGGTAGCTGAGGGTGTTGTTCACGTGATTTAGTAGTTCATGCATGGCATGCATGGGAGCTGGATTGTAGCTGATGAATGTAGCTTGCATACGTGTCAAGTCTGTTAGGAAACTGTTCTAGAAGTTGTTAGTTTGTTACAATTTGTTGTGAATTTGCTATAAGTAATTAGCTTAGGTGAAGTGTAATTCAAGTTTAATAAAAATACTTCTGATATTTTGTTTGTGTAATTCAAGCTTTTCCTACTGCAATGCTTAACATGGTATCATTTGCTGACTGTTCCTGAGGTTGCTTTTGTGTGTTGTGTTATTCTTGTGTCCATGGAGTTCTCTGTAGGGAAGACCTTCACCAACAACAAGGTTAACATCATACTCGATGAATCAAACTTTCTCCTTTGGAAGCATCAAGTTTTGTTGACCGTTCGTAGTCATCGACTGGAACGGTTGCTAACGGGAGCCACCTCTCCTCCTTCTGCAACGGTGGTGAACGACCATGGTGACTTGGTGTCGAATGATCTATATGAAGACTACGTTGCACAAGACAGTGCACTAGTGTCTTGGCTACTGTCCACGATTAGCTCTCATTTGCTGTCCCAATTTGTTGGAGCAGAGACGGCAGCGGCGGTCTGGAGCACAGTTCTACAGTTCTTTGCAAATCAGTCTACCACGATGATTATCAGTCTCCATTAAAAGCTTCAATCGCTTAAAAATGGGAATGATAGCATGCATACATACCTTACTCGCATCAAATAAGTTTTTGATAAGTTAGATTCATATGAGAGTGCAATTCTTCAAGCCGAGCATATTGCTAGCATATTAAAAGGCCTTCCTCGTGAATATCAACCATACATTGCATTCATAATCACCATGAAAGATGCGTTGTCCCTTGACAAGATCTGCTCGATGTTGATCGATGCAAAGATGCAACTGGTTGGGTTTTATTCCCAGGAAGAGTCTCTTCTGATGAGTGCTCATATAGTGTAATATGGATTGAAAACGGCCAGTCATGGCTTTCATGATCATGGTTCTTGATGATCAAATCTAATAATTCAGGTCAAGGTGGAGGACGTGGCCATGGTCGACCACGTGTTCAATGCCACTTGTGTGGAAAAAATGTCCACCTGGTTGTTGATTGTTGGTACAGGTTCGATCAGACCTTCACTGGTCGGTCAGCAGATCGTGTTGTGGCTCGTGGTATGTCAGGCTCTGCTAACTACTCCGGGCTTAAGACATTTTCTGCTGGTGAGGATGAGTGTGTGTGATATACCAAAACTCGTGCTGAGGCACAGGTTTGCTATTCCTCGTAGCCTTAGACTCATGTTACTGCCAGTACAAGGGATCACTGGGTGGTTGACTCCGGGGCTACACATCATGTAACCTCTGACTCAGCCAAGCTGCTTAGCCAAAAGGATCTTTCTGGACCAGGTAAAATTGTTGTTGGCAGTGGAGATTTCCTTTTTATTCAAACTATTGGTAAAACTACTTTATGTTCTTCTTCTCGATCATTGATGTTGAATGATTTGCTTCATGTTCCCAAGATAACTAAAAATCTTCTCTCGGTCTCGAAGCTTGCTAGGGACAATGGGGTATACTCTGAGTTTCATGCCTCCCATTGTTGTGTTCGTGGTGAAGGAACTGGTGAAGTGTTGTTTCAAGGACATGAGAAGGATGGTCTATATTTGTTTCAAGTAGATTACATAAATAATACGAATGCTTCCTTTGAAGCTAATAGTGTTGTTGTTTCACATAGTATGTATGATCTGTGGCATAGACGCCTTGGGCATCCTGCACATGAAACCCTTGGAAAAATATGCAAATTAATTGATGTAAATGTTGAGAAAATTGTTAATAAGACTTGTGTTGTTTGTCATATAAAAAAGAGCAATAAACTTCCATTTTCTGATTCATCCACTATGTATGAGTTGCCTTTCCATCTTGTGTTTACAGATTTATGGGGGTCATCACCTATTGTTTCTAATGGCTATGAGTATTATGTTAGTTTTGTGGATTCATGCACTAGACACACGTGGTTTTATCTTCTTAAGGATAAGTCACAAGCTGCTTATGCATTTAAGCTGTTTCAACACCTTGTGAAGACACAATTTGGACTGAAGATTTTGTCTTTTTAGAGTGATTGGGGAGGTGAATATCGTCGATTGTCTCGAATGCTTGCTGAAGCTGGCATCTCTCATTGTGTTACATGTCCACATACCTAAGAACAAATTGGTGCAGTGGAACGCAAACATCGGCATGTAGTTGAGTTGGCACTAGTTTTACTTGCACAAGCCTCCATGCCAACTAGTTATTAGTCATATGCAGTAGTTAAGGCTGTGCATTTGATTAATAGACTTCCCTCTAGGGTATTAGCTGGACGTTCCCCTTTGAGTGTATGTTCAATGAGAAGCCAGATTATGAATCGCTCAAAGTGTTTGGGTGTCGATGTTTTCCTCATCTCATACCATTCAATGCTCATAAACTAGACTTTCGATCTCAACAATGCACGTCTTTAGGTATTAGCTCTCAATACAAAGGTTTTATTTGTTTAACACCTGATAACTGTGTCATTGTATCTCGTCATGTGAAGTTCGATGAGTGGAACTTTCCATTTTCTAGTGATAAGCCTACCACACAGTCATCACTCGAGTTGCCTTTGAGTAGATCCCTTGATATAATAATGGATACAAATAAGCTTCATACTGGTGGTGTTCAAGTGCCAGATATTGCTCAACTGCCTGTAGATAATACTGACACTACACTGCACGGTCAATGTCAGATACTGAGTCTGCTGCTGAAGTTCCAAGTATTAGTCAAGCAGATCCTAAGGTTGCTGATCAAACTCAATCACTGCCTGGTGACAATACAGGAGCTGCAGTTATCACTGGTCATCCAATGCTGACTCAAAGTAAATGTGTTGTGTTTAAGCCAAAGGTGTATACTACGTTCTTTGATGATGTTGTACCAACCATGATTAAAGAGGCTCTTCAGTCTGCTAAATGGACTGAAGCAGTTCATGTTGAATATTCAGCCTTACTTGAGAATGACATGTAGGTGCTTGTTCCCTTGCCAGTTGATAGAAATATGGTGGGGTGTAAGTGGCTTTTTAAACTTAAACGAAATCCTGATAGATCTGTGCTTAGATATAAAGCTCGACTAGTTGCAAAAGGATTTACACAAGTCCCTGGTCTTAATTTTCAGAATATATTTAGCCCAGTTGTGAAATTATCAACAATGTATGTACTTTTGACCATGGTTGTTGCTCGAGGCTGGGTCTTGAGGCAGGTTGATATCAATAATGCTTTCTTAAATGGTGAATTACATGAAGACGTGTATATGCAGTAGCCACTAGGGTTTGAGCAGTGTGCTTTAGATGGTACTCCATTGGTGTGTAAGTTACAAAAGACCCTCTATGGTCTTCGCCAAGCCCCACGCAATTAGAATGACAAACCTAAAGCCAATATATTGGAGTTAAGGTTTGTTGAATCTAAAGTAGATGTGTCACTCTTTGTTAGGCTTCACGATGATTGATGTACGTATGTTTTAGTATATGTAGATGACATTATCATAACAGACACATCTGCTAAAGCTGTTAATCAGGTCATTCATAAGCTTAGTACTCATTTTCCCTTAAAGATCTAGGTAAGTTACCATCTTTTTTGGGGATCGAAGTTAAGAGATTTGGTACTGGTTTGGTGCTGAGTCAACGAGCTTGTATTTGTGAGTTATTGAAGAAAGCTAATATGAGTCAAGCAACGCCTGTTTGCACTCCGATAGTTGCTACTGCAAAAACTGCTGATAAAATTAGTGCACTACTGGCTAATGCTCGAGAATATTGCAACATTGTGGGAGCTCTCTTGTATGTCTGTCATACTCGACCGGATATAGCATTTGCAGTCAATAAAGTGGCTCAGTTCATGCAGTCTCCACGTGAAATACATTTGGTAGCAGTCAAACGTATCATGCATTATTTGGCAGGATCACTGAATTATGGGTTGGTGTTCTCAGATAGTGATGCTAGATTATGTCTCAAAGTTTTTTCTGATGCAGATTGGGCTGGTGATGCCAGTGATTGTAGTTCCATGTCTGGTTATTGTGTCTTTCTTGGAGGATGTTTGGTTTCGTGGAATTTCAAGAAGCAGAAGACAGTCTCTCAGTTGACAATAGAGGCTGAATATAGGAGCATTGCTGACTCAGCTGCTGAAGTCACTTGGCTTACTGCTTTGCTCCGTGATCTTGGGTTGTCATTGCGTGATGCACCTGTGATTTGATGTGACAACCCAAGTGATGTTGCTTTGAGTGTAAATCCCGTATGCCATGCTCAGTCCAAACATGTTGAATTGGATGTACATTTTATCCGATAAAATATTGCAGCTGGTCATCTTCGAGTCAGCTATGTCCCTGCTGGGTTTTAACTGGCTGATGGTCTAACCAAGGCACTGACCAGACCAGGATTTGTATAGTTTCGAGAAAAGCTACGTGTATTGGATTGTTAAAGAAGGGAAGAAGAAGAAGCAGGGAGAATGTTGAGATAATAAGGTAGCTGAGGGTGCTGTTCACATGATTTAGTAGTTCATGCATGGCATGCATGAGAGCTGGATTGTAGCTGATGGATGTAGCTTGCATACGTGTCAAGTCTGTTAGGAAACTGTTCTACAAGCTGTTAGTTTGTTAAAGTTTGTTGTGAATTTTCTATAAGTAATTAGCTTAGGTGAAGTGTAATTCAAGCTTAATGAAAATACTTATGATATTCTATTTGTGTATTTCAAGCTTTGCCTACTGCAATGCTTAATACTTGGAGAGGCCCGCACGAGATCGTGCCTTCAACAGAACCTTCTTAACCAGTAGCCAAACACATACCGTGGGATATTGGTGGGGACGCGTTCCGTCACGAGCCTTGACGGTGTACAACTTCCAGGCAAGACCTGGCCATGCGGAACCGATATGGTCAAGGAGTTCATAGTCCTGGAGAGCTTTGGGACCAGTTACCTCCTGCATGGTTATTTGAACGGTTTTCTCGATAACGATAGTCGTTTTGGCCATAGCTTGCGTAAGGGTTTTCATGTTGATCGACATTTTTGTGGGTTTTGTTTGTGTTTCGCATAAAAATCAAGAAATAAACAATTGATTTACGGATGAGGAAGGAAGCAACAAACAAAGAATTTTAAAATGAGAGATTTTTACAAATCTATCTCAAAGAAGAAGAACCGAGAAGATGAAAAGAGAGATTTACATGAGAAGATGATCGTTCTCTTGAGTCAGTTTCACCGGTGAGATGAAGACCACTGGATCGCGACTAATTTTGGGTGTGGAGAGAGGAAGGGGAAATGTGAAGGAGCGTCTCGAAAATGACTTAACCTTTTTCAAAGGATAAGTTGTTTTACAGAGTTTGGGGCTGATTTTTACATTGACAGTAAAAGAATTTACGTTGACTCCCCTCTTTTACTTGAACCAAACATAGGAAAACGGGAACGCTAAATTATTTTTTAAGTATTATATATATATTGATATTAAAAATTTTAGTTTAGAAGTAAATCCTCCCGTCCAGAATCATGATATATCTAAAATTCAATTGAGATTTATTTAGGAATTTACAGATTGTCCACCAAAAGTGACGATAGTAAAATTTAAATTTAGTCTTGCAAACTCAAAATCCTAAATTTTTACCACTTGTGTCAACACTCTCGTTGTCTTTTTAGTATTATATATTTATAAATGAGTAGCAACTACTAATCATGAAAATATATAAAAAAAAAGCTCTGAATAACAATGAATAATAGTAATATGCGGCTTTAATAATCAAATATACCGTTTCTTTTAATTAATTAATTAATTAATCTAATAAAATTTTAATTTATTTATAGATATAATGTTTTTAAAGATTAGTTATAAAATTGATATTTATTTTTATTACATAAAATAAAGACGTATCGTATCAGTTATACATTTTGGAAAGCACATTTAACAAAATATATTTTTGTCTTCTGTAACAATCTAATCAGTATATATTTTAGTTTACGTAAAAAGTATGTCCGACTAAAATTAACCGCATTTTCCCGCACAACTCGTCCCCTCCACCTTCCCCAGCCCTAGAACTCTCCTCGAACCACAATAAAATATGTATTCAAATTAATTATATTAAATATTTTGAACCTTTAAAAATCGAAATATTACTATAATATTCATAAACATTATTGCATCCTTATGTGTTTAAATTTTTTATTTTTCAAATATGAATTATAAATAATTATTTGTGTTGAATGAAATAAAATTAAAAATAATATTTTAAATGTAAACGAAATATAACAATGCAATATTGATAAAGAAAATAAAGGTATTCAACTTATATTGTTATAAAAATCATATCTCATATGACCTTTATGTAAATGAGTTTCCTAGTTTGCTGGTTGTCAATTACGTGTAAGATTTTTAGTATATATATTCTTGAATAGGATCATCATCATTATTTACTCCGTTATCAATAGTATCTCCAACATTACAAGAATCGTTATGCGTTGATCAGGTGAATTTATTCATCGAAGTATTCCAGTTGTATGATGATGGATGATCTAGAAGAATAACGATTAGAAAGGTGTCTAGTCAGCAATTCACCGCTAAAAAAACTTTAAAAATTCAAAACATTTTATAGATGAATATGACATATGAAACAAATACCAGGTCCAATATATAGTACCAGTGTAAAATATTGTTAAACTCGAAAGAGGTGGAATTATGATGAATGCTGCATCTACATGATTTGGATAAACATTTGTTGAAAGAATGTTGAAAGCTATCTTAGTTGAGGCTTGTGCTCACTTGTGATCGTACAACGTCATGCATGCTCGTGCAACGTCATGCATGCTCATGCAACTTTATGCACGTCCATGCGTAAGGAAGTTCTAGAAGATAGTCTAGAAGTTAGGTTGTTATAAGTTTGTTAGTCTAGAAGTTAGGTTATTATAAGTTTGTTAGTGTAGCAGGTTCTTAACAGTTTAACAACTAGTTGGTTAGGTAGTTTTCTTGAATTGCCAAAGCTTTGTAAGTAAGTTGTATAAATATAGTAGTGTATAGTGTACTGAAATATGGCTTTCTTGATACAATGAAGTAAAGAGTTCATTTCTTCCATTTCTTCTTGAACTTCTCTAAAATATTCAACATGGTATCATTCGCTTTCGGTCTTGGAGTCCTCTGCTAGCTGCGATGGTACTCTTTGGTGATTCGTCCTCCTCGCAAGCCCGAATGTTTACCAACAAACGTGTAAATGTGGTGCTTGATGAGATGAACTTCCTTTTATGGAAGCAACAAGTTCTACTTACAGTTCGCAGTCACCATCTTGAACGATTGCTGAATGGTTCCTTACCAGCTCCACCGGCGACGGTTGTTGATGAGCATGGTGAAACTGTTACTAATGAAGCCTATGAAGATTTTTTAGAACAAGATAGTTCTCTTGCGTTCTGGCTCCTATCCATGATCAATACTTCATTGTTGCCGCAGTTCGTTGGTGCTGAGTCAGCCGCTGCTATATGGAACACGGTTTTACAGTTCTTTGCAAACCGATCTACCACCACGGTTATGAATTTGCATTACAAACTTCAGTCTATGAAGAAAGGTGATGATTTCGTACGAGTTTACCTCATCTGTGTTAAATAAATCTATGATGCACTTGCTTCTTGTGGAAGTCTGGTGTCTCAAGTTGAACATATTGTGAGTATCCTTAAATGATTACCTTGGGAGTATCAGCCATTCATGGCAGTGATCACTACCACATGAGAAACTCTTTCTTTGGATGTTTACTCGATGCTTGTTGATGCTGAAACGTATATTGTTGGGTTTGACTCTCAGCCTGAGAACCTTCCAATGAGTGCTCATGTTGCTTTAGGAAGATCGATGACTGGCTCGACTGAGTCATTTTGTGGTGGTCGATCTGGTGGATGTGGTCAAGGTCGTGCTCGTCTTCAGTGTCAGTTGTGTGGTAAGAATGAGCATTATGTTGATCAGTGCTGGTATCGATTTGATCGAGATTTTCCTGGTGTCAATGCATCTTCTGGTTCATCACGGTCCAAGGATGAGTCTGGTGCTGCTAACTGTGCCACATTTGATTCATTGTGCTCTTGCTACAGTGCTAAAGCTAGTGTGTCCTCTTCTTGTCTACCTCAAGAAAATGTTACTTCATGTGAGCATTGGGTTGTTGATTCGGGGGCAACCCATCATGTAACCCCAGATGTCCCCAAGATAATGCATTCCACTGATTTTATCGGCCCAGGTAATCTTCTAGTAGGTAATGGTGTGTCACTAGCGGTGAACTCGATTGGTAAAATTGTTTTACATGCTTATTCTCAAGCTTTAATATTGAATGATCCCTTGCATGTGCCAAAAATAACAAAACATTTGCTCTCGGCGTCCAAGCTTGCTAGGGACAACAATGTCTTCCTTGAGTTTCATGCTGATGAGTGATTTGTTCGAGATAAAGTGACTGGTGCGGTGATTCTTTGAGGACAAAAACGTGAAGGGATTTACACAGTTGCTATAGAGTCTAAAGCCTTCTCGTGTAATAAATTTGAGGTCAATAATGTTGTTGGTTCAAGTGTATTTGATCTTTGGCATAGGAGATTAGGACATACTACTTTTCATACTTTGAAAGATGTATTAATTCGATCAATGTTAACATTCCAAATAGCATGAATACAACTTGTGTTGCTTGTTGCATGGGAAAGAATCACAAGTTGCCTTTTGATTCTTATACTAGTGTGTATGTCGTCCTTTTTCAACTTGTTTTTACTGATCTTTGGGGTACTAGACATATTCCTTCTTGTGGTTATTGATACTATGTGTCATTTGTGGATGCATGTACACGTCATACATGGGTGTACATGATAAAAGATGAAGCCTAGGCTCTTGATGCGTTTCGGTTATTTCAAACCATGGTTGCCACTTAATTCTCTTTTCCCATTAAGTTTGTTCAGAGTGATTGGGGAGGCGAATACAAGAGGTTGTCATGTGAGCTAACTCGTGCATGTATTTCTCATCGGATCACGTGTCCTCACACATCCGAGCAGAATAGAGTAGTTGAACGTAAACACCGACATTTGGTTGAGTTAGCTCTTCTGTTTCTAGCACATGCTGATTTTCCATTTCGATTCTGGTCGTATGCTGTGGCCACAACTGCAAATTTAATAAATCAACTGCCTACCAGAGTGTTAGGCAATAGCTCACTGATTGAGAAGTTATTTGGTTCATAACCAGATTACAAGGCACTACGTGTATTTGGTTGTCGTTGTTTTTCTCATTTGAGCCCTTTAAGCAGCATAAGTTGATGTTTCGATCTGCACCCTGTGTATTCTTGGGTTACAGCTCGCATCATCGAGGTTTTCATTGTCTTGGTCAGGATGGTCGTGTTTATATCTCGGGGCATGTTAAATTTGATGAGGATGTGTTTTCTTTTGCAGATAAGCAACAACCTGAGTGTGTGTCTAATAATAGTGCATGGTGGTCAGCTCCCTTGCAGGTTGTTCCTGAACGAGTGAGAACAAGGGTTGTGTCTGGTTCATCAACACACCCTAACACATAATCGTATACACATGAAGATGGTGTTGACTCTAGCATCCAAGTTGGTGCTAACTATAGCTTCCAAGGTGGTGCTGATTCAACTATGGATGATAATGTAGCTGAGTCTAGTGTTCCTGAGCCTCCACAGTTACCTACTGAAGTACCTAAAAACATAACCACTGCTGGAATGCAGTCTTCTATTGAGCATAATGTATCCTCTGTTAATCAACATCCTATGCTAACGAGAAGCAAATGTGGGATCTTTAAATCCGAAGTCTTTTTTAGTTCCTTTGATGAGTTTCTTCCTGCTTCTATTGATGAAGCCATGAAATCCAAGGAATGGGAAGAAGTTGTGCATGTTGAGCTTACTTCTCTTCAAAGTAATGGTACATGGTCCCTTGTCAAGTTACCTGAAGGACAGACCACTATTGGTTGCAAGTGGTTTAAAATAAAATGTAATTCTGATGGAACTGTTCAACGATACAAGACTCGATTGGTAGCTAAGGGATATTCTCAGGTACCTGGGCAAGATTTCAAGGAGTCTTTTAGTTCAGTTGTGCAGTTTTCTACATTGAATGTTATACTTGCTCTTGTTGTTTCTGGAGGATGACCATTAAGACAAGTTGATGTGAACAACACATTTCTTCATGGTGACTTGAATGAAGATGTGTTCATGCAACAACCACATGGGTTTGAGCATTATACTCCTGAAGGCATCAAGTTGGTGTGCAAACTGCAAAAGTCTCTCTATAGGTTGCGTCAAGCAGCACGAAATTTGCATGCTAAGCTAAAAAGTAGCCTCGTGTAATTCAGTTTTAAAGAATCCAGAGCTGATGTCTCTCTTTTTGTTTTGACAGAAGGGGGAGTGTCAACATATATTTTGGTGTATGTTGATGATATAATAGTTACTGGGCAATCAACGAATGAAATTGAGAAGGTGGTTATGATGTTAAAGAATCACTTCTCTTTAAAATATTTGGGTGAGCTACACTATTTATTATGCATTGAGGTCAAGCGGTGTGACCAGCTTTTAATCCTTAGTCAAAAGTAGTATATTTTAGAATTGCTTGAGAAGTCAAAGATGATCAAGGCTTCATTCACTTCTACTCCTATGGTATCTTTCTCGAAGTTGAACAAGGATGAAGGGAATTGCTTGTTGATGCTCGAGAATTTCGTAGCTTAGTGGGTGGGGGCTACTCTATGTGTGTCACACAAGGCCTGATATTGCCTTTAGTGTGAACAAGGTGGCTTAATATATGCATGCCCCAAGAGAGCAACATCTGCTTACCGCTAAACGTATTCTACGTTTTCTAGCTGGGAAGTTAAACTATGGTCTGGGGTTCATGCTACGAAAATTACATATATCAGCTTTCTCGGATGCTGATTGGGGTGGATGTGCTGATGATAACGATTAATGTCTAGTTATTAGGTATTTTTTGGATGAAGTTTGGTATCATGGAGTGCAAGAAAACAAAAGGTGGTGTCACGATCAACCATGGAAGCTGAATATAGAAGTCTCGTAGATCCAACAGCAGAAGTAGCATGGGTTGATGCTTTGCTCACTAATTTGAAGGTGCCACAGTATAAACAACCAACAATATGGTGTGACAACACTAGTTCAATCACATTGAGCCTCAATCTAGTGTACCACTCTCAGTCCAAGCATGTGGACTTTGACGTGCATTTTGTCCGGGGAAGAATTGTTGCGAATCAACTATGTGTGAGTTATGTTCTAGCAGCTCATCAAGTTGCGAATGGCTAAACCCTTGGCAAAAACAACTTTTGCTAGCTTTCGTGATAAACTAAATGTGTGTTTGTTTGTTGAAGATGGGAAGAAGCAGGGAGAATGTTGAAAGAATGCTGAAAGCTATCTTAGTTGAGGCATGTGCTCACGTGTGCTCGTGCAACGTCATGCATGCTTATGCAACGTCATGCATGCTTATGCAACTTTATGCATGTCCATGCTTAAGGAAGTTCTAGAAGATAGTCTAGAAGTTAGGTTGTTATAAGTTTATTAGTCTAGCAGGTTCTTAGCAGTCTAACAACTTTACAACTAGTTGGTTAGGTAGTTTTCTTGAATTGCTAAAGTTTTGTAAGTAAGCTGTATAAATACAATAGTGTATACTGTATTGAAATATGGTTTTCTTGATAGAATGAAGTAAAGAGTTCATTTCTTCCATTTCTCCTTGAACTTCTCTGCAATATTCAACAACATTGGTGGCATCGAAAATATCTATTGTGGTGGTCTAGGCGAAGCTAATAATAAAGTCACTAGGGTTCGCTCTTTCCCGATTAGTTGGGGACGTGATATTGCATCATTGAATATTTTTCACTATACATATGAATAGACCTGACTTGTTGCTAATTAGAGAGTAGATATAATTTTCCTTAATGTTTGAGCCATGACATGTGATCCATCAAAATCTTGTATTAAAATTTACAATAAATTATCAATCAGATATAAAACCATTCTAAGTGTTACGTCCTCTAGTCAATATTTGTCTTCCTTCCTCAATAATTTTATGCATACTATCTAAATTAATACTTGATCCGGGAATAGATTGTGTGAACCTAAATTTTTGTAGCACACAATTACTCAAATACTAAACTATTAAACAGATAAGAAACACAATCTCATGTCATATGTTCAATAAATCAGTCATATATCATAGCATACAAAACCCTTAATTCATTATTTACATAGGGTATCATACAAACTACAAACATTAAAATATTACGAATCACAAACTTGTAAATGATTTTTTAGGTAGTATGAGTAATATAAAATTTATAGTTATTAACACGTACATCTAATCTTACTTTCTACTTGATTAATACTCTGATCAAGCCCATATTTGAGCGTGGGCAAGAGGGCCACTTCCTAGGCCCCCTCTTGCCCAAGGTCCAAAATTATGAAATTCATATATAATTAAAAATAATAAATTATTTGTTTAGTCACCCATCTATTATTTTATTTTTGTTTTGGTTATTCAATTATTATTATTTTTAAATTATACTTAACGTTACATTTTAATTTTGTTGATTATCCATCATTAAAAAATCAAGAACGATATTGATATTATATTTTTAAATTATTTTTCAATTTTCATTAAAATTATATTTATTTATTATTATTATTATTATTATTATTATTATTATTATTATTATTATTATTATTATTACTATTTGCTATTAGGGGCACACCTTGACCAACTGTTCATGCCCCTCATTTTGTATGGGGCTCCTAATTTTTTTATAATATTATTTATTTTATAATTTAAACCTTTAATTTTTCTTTAATTTTAGTTTTTTATCCTTATAATTGATGTCTCTAATTTTTGTAATCCTATTTTTCTCTTTATAATGGAGGCCCTTAATTTTATTCAATCCCATTTTTTTTACATTTATAATTGATGATCCTAAGTTTTTCAATCCCACCTTGTACCTTTATAATTAAGCTCATGTTTTTTTTTTCAATCTCATTTTTTTACTTTTATAATTGAGGTCTCTAATTTTTTTAAACCCAATTTTTACTCATATAATTTAGGCCCCTAATGTTTTTCAATCTCACTTTTTACCTTTAAAATTGATGGCCCTTTTTTTAATATAACTGTTTACGTTTATAATTGGGGTCCCTAAGTTTTTCAATCATACTTTTTACTTTTATAGTTTAAGCCCCTAATTTAATCATTTTTATACGATTTATTAACATAATATTAAATTAATTATTCAAAGTATTAGAATATACTTTTATTTTATAAGGGTCTATCTTTTAGTTTCGCTCAGGGTCCCGAAAATGTCTAAGATAGCTATGTATTTATTAGAGAGTTTATTAAACATAGTAAAAAATAATTTACAAACAAATTTATTTATTTTTTCTTGCACTTACAATTTAATTTTTTAGATACTTATTATTGGAGGCCTAATTTTTATATTCGCTCTCGGCCACTAAAATCTAAAAAATGGGCCTGACTTTGATAGTTTTAAATTTTTTCGGAATACCTTGATGATTTAAGTCAAAGCTTTATCTATTGGGTGGAAAAAAGGTTCGATTAAAATCCATAATTATGGACACATATTTATAATGTATATTATTATCATAAAATATGACATAAATTAAGTGATAAATAGTGTTATAAAGTTATGAGGTGTTAGATGTATCATGGGAATAAAAGTGTAAATAATATTAAAGTTATATTTATAATTTGATTAGTGGCAGAATTATAAGTACAAACAATAATTGATTCTTAAATCAGCTACATAAAGGCGTTATTGCCCCAAGAAATAGATAACCTCATATTTTCTCTTATTTCGTTAGAGAGTTTATACTCACGAGAATTCTATTTTCATGGAAGATCACAATCAAAGAAAGATTCAAGGATTTCAACCTACTAATCCAGGTACGTTTCTACATCTAGTATTTTATTCTTGATGATTTGGCACATTTAGATCCTGATTATTTTCATATTTATATGTTATGGTTTTAACAAATGGTATCATTGTAACATCATATTGAATGTAACCCCCTAGACCTGACCTGGATGTTATGCCCAAATCTAGGCGGTTACATATCGCATTCAGAAATTCTTTTTTATATTTAAAACAATGTTAAAATCCATAATAATGATTCATACGATAAACATATATACATATATCAGAAAATCGTATAAAACATTTACAGAACAAAATACTGGTAATACAAATATATCAAGATAGTAGCAAAACACGTGTCACCAAAGTATAACAAAGGCATATAGAGATATACATTAGTACAAAAATAGGAGTAGTCGATCCTCTTGATGTCAAGTCTGCTAGCCTAGTCTACTATTATTTGAAAAGGTTAAAATTTACGGAATGAGCCAAAAAGCTCAGTGTGCTCCTTACGGTGTATAAAAACATACAGATAAAACACCTTAGTAAACATCAGTTCATTAAACATACTTTAAAACATGAACACTACCCCCGTCTGATCACCAGAATGTGTAGGTTCCCCAGAACAATACACCCACCTATACATCCAATAAGGGCTTGCCCTGTGCACAAAGCATAGGAGCCTGCGGTAAGGTCTTATTCTGTGCACAAAGTAGAGGAGCCTGCGAAAAGCAGTAAGATCTTACAAGTCATAGACTAGGTTTGAGATACTTACTCCAATAAAACCCCCAATGACATAAATAACATGTATACAGTCGAATGAAAACGGTAGTTTAATCCATTAAAACATGAAAATATTCCATTTTCAAAAATCAGATACGAAAATACGGTAGTTCAGAGATCATATCAGAAATATACAATAAATCAAATATCAGATAAACCGTGTTCAGAAAATCAAGTATTGTGTCTTAAAAATATTTAGTATTATCAGAAATCTAAAACACTTCAAACAGATAGTTGAAAACAGTAATGTAACACCAACAAGAAACAGACTTGTACCGATTTGAGGTGTCTGATAGGGAAGCCTACTACTGAGTCTGTTGATCACGATTAGTGGTAGTACTAGATCCTACGAATCGGAAAATCCATATCAGAATCCTACTATGAATATTATTAAACTTTATTTAAATAATTTATGGAAACTTACGGGTAACTCTCATAGAACGTGGATCGAGCGAGTCTGACGGATGTGAAACACCAGATCTGATCGACCCTTGGTCGGGTGAAACTTGAGTATCTTTATGAAAATATATTCTCGAATCAATTCCATAATCAAATCCTAAAACATTAAGCAAAAATGCTAAAAACACTAAGCATTTTCGGATTAACGAGCTCAATTTGGGGCTTTCGGGTTAAAATTTGGCAAAACGGACTTTGGAATCGGACTTAGGACATCGAAAAACATAAAATATGACTTTACAAAAAATTTAAGTTTTTGGGTCAAAGGCAACGGTCAACAGTCGGACCGAGTCGAGTCGGACATGGGTTAGCGGGTCGGGTTAAACAGACGGGTCGGGTTCGGGCAAAATCTAGAAACCACCAGGTGGTGGGACTTCCCCACGCACAGATGGAGACGAGTGGGGCGCGTGCGGCGTCGTATAAGGCCAATAGTTTTTAAATTCCTACAGCTATTTTAAGGGGTTTTGAGACACTTACCAAGCTTAGTTCACAATGGTGAATGGCAAAGAGGTCGATTTCTAAATGTTAAAAACTAAATATTTTTCACCCATTCACACGCCGGAGACAACGGAGACAAAGTGGACACTGGAGGACTCGGGCGACACAAGAAACACGATGGTGTGGGAGGTGTCGAAAATGGAGCAACGGTCAACGACGAAACGACGATCAAAGATTTCTTTCTAAAAGATGAAAATATTGAAGAGAGAAAATAAAAAAATTGAAATTTTTCCAGATTTGAGGGGTTATATAAACCCTAAAAAGAAAATGGTAAATCACATTATAGGTCCTCCAATTTTAGTTATTTTCTGAATTTGGATATGAATTTAATCAAAATTTCACTTTGGTCCCTAAATTAAATAAAAATTTAATTTACTCCTAAAAAAAATTTAAGAAAATTTTAGGCCCTATTTTGGTTTGTGATAACTCTCCCCCTTAAAATAAATTGTATCCTCGAAATTTACCTGGTGTAAAATATGTGGAATTTGAGCCTCCATTAACTCCAATGTCTCCCAAGTAGCTTCTGAGGGGCCATAGTTACTCCATTGAACTTTGAACAACGGAATACACCTATTCTGAAGAACTCTCTCATCCTGATCTAAATTCTGAATAGGCTCATCCTCATAAGATAAATCAGGTCTCAACTTTACCTCCTCAATCTGAATGATGTGACCTAGATCTGGACGATATCACCTTTACATGGATACATGAAAAACATCATGAATGCGACTGATCTGGGGAGGCAAATCAAGCGGATAAATAATAGGTCCAACTCTCTTCAGAATACGATATGGCCCAATAAATCTCGGACTCAACTTACCCATACGTCAACACTTTCTTCCACGGAGATACTTTCAAAAAAACGTGATTCCCAACCTCAAACTCAATATCCTTCTGTCGCTGATCTGTGTATGATTTATGCCTATCAAATGCCTCCCTCGGGTGATCACGGATCAATCTGTAAGTATCCTCAGTCTCTTGAACTAACTCTGGACCCAAATTATTTCTATCATGAACCTTTGTCCAACAGATAGGAGTACGACATCTACGTCTATACAGAGCATCGTACGGTGCCATGTGAATACTTGCTTATTAACTGTTATTGTAAGTAAACTCGGCTAAGGATAATAAATCTTCCCAACTACCATAGAAGTTAATCACACAACCTCATAACATATCCTCCAGCACTTGGATCACTCGCTCAGACTGACCATCAGTCAGTGGGTAGAAGTTGTACTGAAATTCAAATGAGTACCCAAAGCCTCATGCAAAGCTTGGAAGTAAACCTCGGATCTCAGTCAGATATGATAGACAAAAAATACCATAAAGTCTAATGATCTCAGAAATGTACAATCTCAGAAATGTACAATCTAGCTAACTTGTCCAAAGAACAATTAACTTGAATACGGATAAAGTGAGCTGACTTGGTGAGTCGATCAACAATCAACCAAACAGAATCCTTTTTGGAAGGAGTCAGAAGAAGATCGGTAACGAATTCCATCGTAGTGCGCTCCCATTTCCACTCAGGAATCTTAATTGACTATAACAATCCAGACGGATACTGGTGCTCTTCCTTAACATGCTGATAAGTTAGACACCTCACTACAAAATCTAAAATATTCTTTTTCATACCAGCCCAAAAGTAGTGCTCCTTGAGATTCTTGTACGTTTTGTCCCCGCTAGGATGCTTAGCATAAGGACTACTATAAGCCTCCTGAAGAATATCATGTTTCAACAAATCATCTTTAAGGATGCAGTAATAACTGTGAAAGCACAAAATACCATCTTGATCCAATGTATAGTCTGAACTCGATCTCTGCTCAACCTGTTCAACAATGGGAAGCAAGGAGCTAGCTATCAAGGAGTTTTTTGTCCTTAATCTCTTCGGCCAAAGTGGGTTTAACTTGTAACTCTGCTAACATGCTACTATCATCAAACAAACTCAAACTGGCAAACAAGGCTCTCAGATCGGATATCTCTTTACAGCTCAAGGCGTCGACCACCATATTAGCCTTCCCTGGATGATACTCTATCTCACAATCATAGTCCTTTAGAAGCTCCAACCAGCGACGCTGTATAAAATTCAATTCTTTTTGAGTAAGTAGATACTTCATGCTTTTATGATTGATATAGATGTAAAACTTTTCTCCATAGAGATAATGTCTCCAGATCTTCAAAGCAAAAACTACATCAGTTAAATCTAGATCATGAGTGGGATAGTTGTGCTTATACAACTTTAATTGACGCGATGCATAAGCGAATAGATTCTATTCTGGCAGATTGTACACCTTAGTGTAATATGTCCATAACTTTTAATTTACTCATCGTATTTTTGATTTATTTATACCCTTAGAAATCTAATTCAATTATCTTTTCAACCATGTATGTCTTGCATTTTAGTTTCTTATATAAAGTTACAGCTTTATATTTGAAGTTAGACGATTTTCCAGTGACCAATCTGTCACTCTTGTAATTCAATGTACTTTGGTGAACTAATTCACCAAAAATCCTTACCAGTTTAGCTTAGATATTTTTACCATTATTAAATTTTATCCTTTCCTTGAATTTTCATATTCACCTTAACCTTTAATACTTCAATTAAGTCCTTTAATTAACAGTTTTCTCAAAACTATCCAATTTAACTATTTTACCCATATATCACCTGCAAACTTTCTAATTCTCTCAAATTGATCATTTGAACTTTACTATTTATTCATTATGGTCCTTTTATTTTTTTCAATTATTTTTAACAGTATTCAGTTCTTTCCAATTAGACCCCAAATTTACCAATTTGTTCAAAACAGTTCCTGATTGAATTCTTAAACTATAGTGGCTAATTTCACTTCGAAGGTCAAATTTCCATAATTTCACAACATTGTCTATTTTTAATGCATCAAACCCATTATAGTTTTCATTTTTAGCAACTTGTTCCTACACCAATTTTTCCAATTTGGTACACAACCTATCAATTTTCTTGATTTGGTCACATGCATGAATAATCCATTCAGTTTTAACTTCAAAATGATGACCCCATGTTTTCCAATTTAGCAAGGTTCTTACTCTCTTGAATTTGATTCAACATGACCATCAAAAATCTCTAATATCATGCACCATCAATTGGAATTATTTCCATGAACAAACTTAAAATTTTCTTAAGAATCAACTAAATTAAACTCTAAATTTTTGAGTGGAAATAGAGGGAGAAAGCTTGCTTGTAAACTATATTAATTCCCTAATCAAATTAAGCTTGAAATTCAACACGCATGGAAAAATACTCCCACTTGAATTCTCTCCATTTTTTTCTTTCTTAGGTAGGTTACCAAATGAAATGGGAATGGTGATATTATTTCATCCTTAATGGAGGTGGAATTGTTCAAACTAGCCCCCCTTAGTTCTTAAGTAACCAACTATTCAAGGGCAATTATAGGAATTTAAGATTTTAGCATGCAATAATAATATTTGCATTTTATTTCAACTTGATCACTATAATTTCGGTTACTACTCTTTTACTCTTTTCAACTAGGTCCTTGTTTAATTCAATTAATCCAAGTTTTAATTTAGCTTAATAATTATCCTAAAAAATTCGATTAGGTCTTCTTTCAATACAATTAATTTAATTTTCAATTAAACTTTGTTTTTACTTTGGCAACTCAATTTGATCCAATATAATTCAATTAATTCAAAAAAATAATTCAATTAGATCTTTATTTAATTCCATTAATTTAAATTTCAATTTAATTTGGTTTTTACCCTAGGCAATGTAACTTAATTCTCCTAGGCTAGGATTTTGGGGTGTTACACTTCGAATTTTTGTAGACTTCTGATTCGATCCGGATAACCAGATATTTTATCGAATTTTATCGCTTAATAACTTTTTCTACTAATCCTAGATCAAAATCTGAATTCCATAACAACTCCATATTTAAAGATAAACTTTTCATTTATAGAATAAAAATTCTTTTTGGAAAAATTATCACTTTGGTCCTTGAACTTTTCCCAAATTTCTAATTTGGTCACCAATCTTCCAAAACTTACATGTTGGTCACTCTTCAAAATTTTAGGGTATTACAATTCCCCCCTTAAGAAAATTTGTCCTCAAATTTTCAATATACAGATGATGTAAACAGATGAATATATTGTTTTTTCATATCTTGCTCTGTTTTCGAATTAGCTTTCTCAGCCTTTGATTTCCCTAGCAAACTTTACTAAGTACTGATTTTATAAACTAAACTTTGATTGAATGTTAATATCATCCGGAACAATATCATGAGATAAATCTGATTGATACTTTAAGAAACACTTATCGCCAACTTAATAGAATATCTCTTTCCTTTTCAAATCTAAATGACTTTTGTTGATTAACAACTATCTTGAGATGATCTTGAATAATATTTACCTGTTACAATATCCATTGTAACTTGTTTCCATTCCCACTTAGGGATGAACTTTAGCTACAATAATGCAGAAGATGCTTGATGCTTTAGTTTACTTTTTGACATGTCAGACACTTAAAAACAAACTTTGTGATAGTTTTTTTGCATACTTGCTACTAATATCGACTTTTTTCTCGATAACACAAACATTCATCAATTTAACTTAAAGGTATTTAGTTTCACCTTTTTCCCACTTGTTCTATCCTTGACAAGTACATCCATTTTCATCTTTCCTTTAAATATCCTTTACTTGATCTATCAACATAGGCTATAACTCTAATTCTACAATTAAAGCATCCTATTTCTTTAAAGACAATCTCACATTCAAAGCTCTCAGAATAAATGTGTCTTTTAGCTTTATTATATCCGTCACAAAATTAGTCTTTCTTGATGATAGCCAATAAGCACATCATCATATTTTAAGGAATTAAATTTATTTCTTTTATTTTTCACTCTTTCAAATTAATACATACTTTCGACTTATGAGATTCGTATAGTTATAGCGTCACTTACCATATAGATAGTGGCATTGTATCAATGAAGAGAACACAACTCTTACTAACTAAAGATCATGAGTTAGATAGTTTCTATCATGATTCCTTAATTGCTTTAAAGGACATGGGCGCCTTAACTTTTCCTCTTGTAAGAACACACATCCCAAACCATTATAAGATGCATTACTATAAATCACTGAACCTAGAGTGTATGTCAACATTCTTTTCAACATCTGGAAGTTTTCTTGGAACTTATCAATCCAAATAAATAGTGTGTCTTTTCTTAATAATTTAGTCGGAGGAATAACAATCATCAAAAGTTTCTTCACGAACCTTTGATAGTAATCAATTATTTCATAATAATATATCTCAAACATTTCTTATTCATATACATGACATCTAGGAAATTTAAAATAATAGGATGCAATTACTGATACATGTGATTAGTCTTGGTTGATTGATGCCAAGCTCAACTCCTTACTTTGTTTTCTTTTCTTTACTTACGTGTGAAAATCATCACACACTAAGTACACAATTAGTGAGGAATTAAATGTAAAAATAAATCAACTTAATAAAATCAAAACAATATATTCCTTAATAAAGAAAAAAAAACTTTCGATATTCACAAACCGACTTTATCTAGTTATTTCCTCATCCATAAAACCTGTCAAAACCAATATCTCAAATATCCATAAGAATCATGAAAATAAAATGTCAAATTTATTTATTTAAGCTGTTTTCTTTTCTCATTAGAAAATTTAAAAAATCATCATTTCATGATTTTGTCAAAACCATGATAACCAATAACTGACATAATAATTCATGTCAAAATCTTTTATTTAAGATGCATTTTAGAACTTCCATATTTCTTTTCATAATCAATACTTTCACATTTTAGAATTAACTTTATGATTCATAACTTATTTTCATATTCATACTTTCTTTTCGGATTTATAGCTAACTTTTATATTCATAGCCCAATGTATGTTTATGAGAATACATGGAACGTAAGTCAGACGAATGTGTGTAATAAACACTTTAGTGCTAAATCGTTATATTCATAACATAATATGCACTGCAAGTGCAATCATCTCATTTGCACCCACAGTGCCAAAAATAATTTACCTAAAGGTATCACATACATAATCATAATCACTCCATCTCATGGCATGCTAATTGTATCTACAACTTTCAATGCAACATACAATGAGCTTCTAGATTATGTTTTATTCGTTCAATATTCACTTTTCAGATTGTAATTTATTTCAACTTATCATTATAAAAATCATATCTTGGGCAGTTCATACCAAAATAATTTAAGTAACGTTTCTACAATCATCAAGCAAATATTCCATTCCTAAAAATATTCATATCATTATTTAAAATAATTTTAGAAAATTACTTCAAATATCTTTTCAGAAAATATCATATGAAATATAACGAATAATTCATACCCAAAATAAATCATAATCATTTCAGCAATTGTCATGGAAATATTCTATGATTTGATTCAAACTTCTCTTTTTAAATAAAGTATTCAAGGTTGACTTATCGCAAGTCTTCCTTGATCAGCATAAGTGAATAAATAATCCACACTTCCTAATTTTTACATTTTATTTATAAGTCAAATTTATAAGCCTCACTAAGCTTTAGGTTTAATCCTTCGCCTTCGATTGCTTTGATTGTAAAATTTATCATAATTTTCTACTATGACAGTTTGCATTACCTTTAAAGAAATATCATTTTGTATTAATATACACACTTATAAATTATTTCATTTATACCACTGAAAAATAGACTTGAATACAAATCTAACTATATAAGAAACTCATTCTAGTTCGATTTGAACAATTTATAATGAATTTTCAAAGTTGGCATATAGAAGTTGTTTTGAGCAAAATCTACTGCCCTATTTTCTAACCTATCCTCAATTAAAAATTCACATCTTTTTGTGTACTCCTTAAAAATCAGTAGCCATTTTTAGACAAAACTATACTGATATACAAATCCAACGATATAAAAATCATATTCTAATCATCTCTGTAGAATTTATCGTAATTTTCTAAACTTATTGTTCAA